ATATATTTTTCATATATACATATATAAAATATATATAAATATATGAAAAATTGATGTGAGTACTCAAATAAAAGGTCTTAATGAGTCTAACATCAGGATGAGCTTATATCTATAAAAATGTCAATATTTAAGAAATGACCTTGTATCTTATGAATTATTAACAATTTTAAAGATATAAGCTCGCTTCGACATTACACTCATCGAGATCTTTCATTTGAGTACCCACATCAATTTTTCATATATTTCATATATTTATATATATATTATATATATGTATATATGAAAATTATATCAAAAATGCATGTGGGTACTTAAATGAAAGCTCTTGATGAGTGTAACATCAGGATGTGCTTATATCTTTAAAAACCTCAATATTTAAGAAAGCACAGTGCAATTTAACTAAATTCATTATTTACTACAACACAATTTTATTTACAAGTCACAAGTAGCAGTCACGTAGTGACTGCAAGGTTGCTAATTTTAATTAATTAAATTTCTTTTAATCAATAAAATTATCTAATTTAATAAATTTATTATTAAAAAAAAAAAAAGAATCTAATGAGTAATAAAAGGGATACCAGGTCAAACGATTAGTATCACCAGTAAAGAGGATATATGATGAATTTTCTTACCTTGCACTGTGACTCATGGTGACTACGTTTCTGTAACATATGGATCCTGATTTCGAAGCGTTTTTTTTTTACGTTTATTCAAAGTATTTTATCTAACTATTCCATTCATATTTAATTATTATCATTATTATTATTTTTTTAATATATAATACAATAGAATAGATTTTAATTAAGTTAATTTAGATTCGAATACTTGTGCAACGATTTCGAAAGTTAATTGTACTCCAATTTAAGCAGCAGTGCATATTTATGCCTGTGGTTTATTGTCAGTGTATTAAATAATAAATTGTTTATTTTATAATAAGTAATAAGTTATAATAAAAGAAGAAATAAATAGAGAAGAAATAAGAAAAAAAGTGTAGAGGCAAAATATTGTCAAGCAAAGTGATGAGTTTTAATTTTTTCTACGCGTTGCTTCTATTTGTGCAAACCAAATTATAAATAAAAATATATATTTAGATTCTTGCAGATTTTTTACGAGTGTGTACACATATAATTATTTTTTTATTAATTTTTTTTAATTAATTATTTATTTTTTTTATATGTATGCACACTTATGGAGATTTTTTTAATAAATTCTATACTAAAAAGCTAAAAAAGATAAATCAGAGTGTAAAAAAATAAAACTATAAACCTGCATATCACAAAAATAGTTGCGTAATATTTTTAAATTACATACCGTAACAGCCGCGTTATGTAGTCCGGCCAATTGTCGGGAAACATCACCAGGAAAAATCCAACTGATATTAATATCATTCCCGCGAGTTTCATACCTACAAAGTGCGCTCCGTAGAGCACAACATCCAGTGCTGGAATGAAATTTAAGTTTTTAAATATTTAATAATTTTATTAATTTTAAATTTAATAATTTTATTATTTAATTATCTATTCATTTGTTAAAAAAAAATTTTTTTAGTTAAGTAATTACCTGCAGACACTGGAACTGCAGTTATTAATCCCAGGGTGATGAATAAATCATATGTTAACGCGATGCTATAATTAGCCAGCATGTTAGCAACTGTAACAATTAATTTATTATTTTCTTTTTACTAGAAACCTTGCAGTCACTACGTGACTGCTATAGTTGAACCATAAATAAATAAAATTTTGGTTTATTAAATAAATTTGTTAAATTGCACTGTAATTTTTTAATTATTGATGTTTTTAAAGATATAAGCTCATCTTGAAGTTACATTCATCAAGAGCTTTCATTTGAGTACCCACATGCATTTTTGATATATTTTTCATATATACATATATATAATATATATATATATATTACATTCATCAGGAGCTTTCATTTGAATACTCACATGAATTTTTGATATATTTTTGATATATACATATATATAATATACATAAATATATGAAAAATTGATGTGAGTATTCAAATGAAAGGTCTTGATGAGTGTAACATTAGGATGAGCTTTTATCTTTAAAAATGTCAATAGTTCACCAGATACAAGGTCATTTCTTAATTATGTATCTAGAGATACACTGGTCACAAAATTTCGCATATTCTTTTAACAATATGGATAAGTAAATTAAATTTATTACTCAATCAATGTAATATATTTGTTTACACTATAAAATATCTTATAATTTATTATTAAACGCACTTAGAAGATTATATCTTGGAAAATATATTTCTTCTTTATTTTTTAATCTCAGTATTTGATCTCGTAAACATAAAACAGTCTTTGATGGTTGCGATTATCAATCGTGTGGTCAAAATAAGCGACTAAAATAATTTTTTTTAAATTTAATACCTGACAGGGAGATTGATAGAGATAAATAAAAGCAAAGATAAAATAAAAAGAGATGGATTTTATTCACTCAGAAAACTGTCAACCATATAGGGAGCGAAAGTTTTATACCTTGTGGTTAAATCTCTAGTTTGGATATTTATATATAAGGAGTTAGATTATATGTAAGTGTGAGAGATTTAATATTAATGTTTAATGCTGAGTAAACAAGATCATTGTCTTTTCTTCTCAACAACTCAACAGCTAATCGTTTCAATTAATAAATTGCAAGCGGCGACTTTATATACATATTATCTTCTTAATATGTCTTTAGCGGATCGTGATCATGCATATTTGTTTTAAGTAATTAATTTATGCAAAAATTTATCAATACCGGGACTAATAAGTCCATAGGATATAAATAATATTTTAAATCGATAAATCAACGCCTCAAGTATCCTTGTTTGTCTTTAAAAAGATACTTTAAATAATATTTATTATTTACCCACATGCAAGGTTGCTAATTATTATTATTATTATTATTTTTTTTTTTATTACTTCTAGCCGGATTACTACAAAGACGCTCCGCATTTCCGAAGAGTTGGAGCTGGACCGCAGTATCGTCTTGAAATTCCCTACGCAAAGTTAGACTTCACCGGTACTTATTCAATAATTGCTAAAAATTGTCATGGAGAAGCTAAAGCCGTAATTTCACTACAAATTTACGCTCGAGGTAATAATTATCATAACAATCAATTAATTAAATTATATATTGATGATGATGATGTTTTTTATTAATTAAAAATTTTTTGGGAGTTTAGGCCAAGGAAAAGAGCACAGCGGTATGGAATCAACGATAAAACACGGGTAGAGATACTCATTAGTTGCACAACTTATGTTGACATTGATGACTAATGATTAAAGATGATGAGCAAACGTATATTTGTCTGTCTGTAGTAATGTCCAGACCTTGCCGGTGATTAAGCGGCCGCTTCGAGACTTGAGATGTTGTGACGGCGACGCCATCACCTTGGTGTGCAAGCTCCACGCGAAACCGGAACCAGACATCAGGTGGGAAAAAGGAGGAAAACTCTTGCCTCTTGGGGGTGATTTTGCAGCCGACTTTGATGGAGAGACTGCCAGGCTCAGTATTCAGCATGTTTACCCTGAAGATGAGGGAGAGTACACCTGTGTTGCTTACAATGAGTTGGGAAAAGCTTACACCTCCGCTTGTGTAATAGTAGACGGTAAAAAGTTATTTTATTTATAATGACGTTGTATTTTGTGAACTATTGACATTTTTAGAGATATAAGCTCATCCTGATGTTACACTCATCAAGAGCTTTCATTTGAGTGCCTACTTGCATATATACATATATGTAATATATATGAAATATATGAAAAATTGATGTGGGTACTCAAATGAAAGGTCTCGATGAGTGTAACATCGGGATGAGCTTGTATCTTTAAAAATGTCAATAGTTAATATGATACAAGGTAATTTCTTAATTATTGATGTTTTTAAAGATATAAGCTCATCTTGACGTTACACTCATCAAGACCTTTCATTTGAATACCCACATGCATTTTTGATATATTTTTCATATATACATATATGTAATATATATAAATATATGAAAAATTGATGTAGGTACTCAAATGAAAGGTCTCGATAAGTGTAATGTCGGGATGAGCTTATATCTTTGAAAATATCAATAATTCAAAAGATACAAGGTTATTTATTAATTATGTAGCTAGAGATAGAGCATTTATAAATGCAGCCTAAATACTTATCATCAATTAATTGTCGATGAGCATGATATGTAATCTTTAAAAGGCACAAATTTGAATCAAGACCTTTGCAATAACTATCTTTGATACAAAGTTTTTTTATTCTCTTAATAATATAGATTAAAAGAAAAATAATTGAACAAAAATAAAATTTTGCAAGGCAAAAATTTATATTTTTGAGAATATATTATTTTGTTAACGAAAAGAACGAATTAATAAAAAATTTTCATTTTTAATAATTGAATTAATTTTTTTTTATTACTTTACCTAAATGAAGTATACTAGCAGAAAGTAAAGCTGCCCAGGGTAAGCGTGCCCAATGAACGCTTTCAACCCCCGAAAAATAAAGAGCCAAACAAATCGGCCATAGTAACGCCGCATTGCAAAGTCCAATTAGTGTAAAAAATATTGAAACTTGTCCGAATGTCGTTTCACCGATGACTTTTTTAAATAAAACCTAAAGAATAATTTTTTTTTTTAAATTAAACAGTTGGTTCTTATAGAAGGAAGAAAAATAAAGTCAAAAATGAAACCTTGTAAACTGCAGAGCCAGCGGCTGCAGAAGCTGCTAAAACAACACCCCCGAGGGTTGGGCTTCCGGTAATACCGTCCATGTATGCTAGTAACGCAATACCTGTATCGCATAATATTACAGCGACGATCTAAAAATATATAGAGTAAAGTTTTAATTTTTAATTAATTAAAAAATAATTTTTTTAATAATAAAAATAATTTTTAATTAATAAAAAAAAATAATTTAAAATTAATTAAAAAAAAATAATTTTTAATTAATAAAAAAATTAATTGATAAATGATGATTTTTTTTGAGAAATTCATTTTTAAAAAAAATTCTATTTAGAGAAAATTAAAAAAAAATTATTAATGTGATTTTTAAAAATTATTTAAAAAAAATGAAAAAATTTACCCGAACTCCGACAAATTGCTCATGTAAAATGACCCAAGAAAGAAGATAAACACAAGAGACGTTGGTAGCAAACAAGGCCATTACATCAGTGGCAAGAAGAATGCGTAATGAGTGGATGTACATGTAATTAGTCGCGACCCAGAGCCCGCAGAAGAAACTGCACCGGGTCAGAAATCGGCCGCCCGTAAGACCCTTGTCGCGAAATCCGCGCAAACTTTCTGCGATTATCTCCGTTGGGTTCGTACATTTTGACCTTGCTATCTGACAGATAAAGTACACTGGGAAGTAGAGCACGGCCCAGTTTGTGCAGAACCAGGTGGTGAAGAAAGGCGCGTTGTAGGGAAGAACGATCTGAAATTTTTAATTTATTTTATTATAATGAATAATACTGAATTTTTTCAAATTTTTAATTTATTTTAACAAATTAATTATCGTAAAATATTTATTTTTAATAATTATATCTTTAAAAGCTCTAAAAAATTAGAAATACAATTTTTTGAAAATACAATTTTAGATCTAGTTTATTTTTAAAGATTAATTTAAAAATTTTTGTCTCTTAATTTCAGTGTCATATTTTTTACCAATAAATTATTTAAAAAAAAACATGATATTGGAGTTGAGGGACATCCGATAAGTTTAAGAAATTTTTTAACAGATAAATCATGATAACAAAAATTTAATTAAAAAAAATTCTATTATTAGAAGCTTTAAAAAATTATAAATGCAACTTTTTAAAAATAATTTATTTAAAACAAATTTTTTTGATAAAAAAAATTAAAAAATTGTCAAGTGTCAGCTAAATTCAATGTCATATTTTTTTTTAAATTATTTTTTGAAACAAATTTTTTTTTTTAATGATACTCAAGTTAGCCAACGTTTTTAATTATTTGATTTTTTTTAATAATAAAATTAATACGAAAAACTATTTTTAAAAAATATCACTTATAGTTTTTGAAGTTTTTTACAAGTGACATTTTTTTTTTAATTTTTTTGTAATAATTTTTTCAATAAAAATAATTCTAAAAATTTTTAAAAGTCGGCTGACTTAATTTTCATTTTTTTTAATAAATTAAAACAATAATTAAATGACTGCTAACTTTAATGTCATCAAATTTGTTTAAAAAAATTATTTTTATTATAAAAAATTGCAATTTTAATGTTTTCAAATTTCTACATGTTAATTTTTTTGTCATAATTTATTTATTAAAAAAATTCTTAGAATTATCAAATATCAGGTAAATAAATTTTTATTAAAAAAAAATAAAAAAATGTTCAAATGTCAGCTAATTTAATTTTCATCTGATGCTTATTAATTTTAGTATCATTTAATAATTAAATTTTAATTGAAAGGTTTCTGTTAATACTTACAGGTTGATGGTATAATTCACTGGTGACATTGTCAGATTCAATGTGATTTGTTATTATGTCAGGTTTATGAAAGTATAAGTATTTTATACAGTGCGTCGCTCCAACCCAGCTGGCTGTCACACAAACTGTTACACAGACTCCAAAATAAATCTGTAACAAATTTTATTTATATAAACAAATAATTATTTATTTTTTACTGTCAATTTCAATGACAGGTAGCTTTTAAATAAACGTCGGCAAAGTAGAAACTAATTTTAAAAAATTCCACTCTGCGCCATCTATCGTCAGCTGTTAAATTTCACCAACTCCCACTTCTGCCGCCCCAAGTTCTTTTTCCTTCTGTTTGTGACGATTGTCGGCCGAAGCCAATAAATTTTAACAAAAAATGGTAAGATTTTTGACGTTTAATCACTTTTGTTAATATAAATAATTGCAAAAATTTCATATTTAACACCTTGGATAATTATTTTTCAATTAATTTCTCTTAAAAACTCCTTTTGTATTTTTTTAATACCACGTTTTTAATTGTATCAATTTAAGGTTATGTTTCCTCGTGCTTTAACAAACTTGACAATTTATATTAAAAAAATAAAAAAAAGTTTTCTAAATAATTTTAAATCAATTTTAAAAAAAAAATTATTATTTATGAATAAATTAATTTGTTCAGGCTAAGCGTACCAAGAAGGTTGGAATCACCGGGAAATATGGGACCCGTTATGGTGCTTCCCTCAGGAAGATGGTGAAAAAAATGGAAATCACCCAGCACAGTAAATACACTTGCACATTCTGCGGCAAGGTAAAAAAAAATTTTCATTTTTTTTTTTTAACTTAAATTAGCAGACTTAAAAATTTTTATAAAAAATATGAGAAAAAAAATTGTACTTGGAATTTTTTTAATTTTCTACATGTCAATTTTTTTTTTTCAATAGAAAAATTTTTAGATGTCAGCTGATTTAATTTTTGATATTAAAATTAGCAGACATTTAAATTTTTATAAAAATTATGAAAAAGAAATTATATTTAGAATTTTTTAAATTTTAAACCTGTCAATTTTTTTTTAATAAAAAAATTATTAAATGTCAGCTGATTTAATTTTCATATTTTTTTTTAATTATTAAATGATTGAAATTAATTAATTTATTGATTTATTTTGAATGACAGGACGCCATGAAACGCAGTGTTGTCGGTATCTGGTCCTGCAAAAGGTGCAAGAGAACCGTAGCTGGAGGTGCTTGGGTCTACTCAACAACCGCCGCTGCTTCTGTCAGATCAGCAGTCAGAAGATTGCGTGAAGTTAAGGAACAATAAGTTCTTTGTAATTTAAATAAAAATATATCAATTTAACTTCAATTCACGCCTTCTATTTTCTTATTATTAAAATTGATAATAATAATTATTAAATAATAATTAATTTTTTCATTTTATTTTACACTAATTTTTAAATTATAAAATTAAGTTAGGTGACACCTAAAAATTTTAATTAATTTTTTTCTTATTGAAAAAATTATAAAAAAAATTTTTATTAGTAAAAAACTTAAAAATCTATTAGTGCAATTTTTTAATATTTTTTTTATTAAAAAATTAAAAATTTTATTGGTAAAAAACTTAAAAATCTATAAGTGCAATTTTTTAAAAATTTTTTTTAGTTCTAATTTAATAAAAATAAATTTTTGAAAAATTAAAAATGTCGGCTAACTTTAGAGTTTTCATTAAATTATTTTTTTTTTTTTTTAATTAATATTTAATATTTTCTATGAAAAAAAAGTAAACTAAATTTTAAACCCAAAATAGACATTAAGTTTCCAGCGCAATGACTCGAAAAATTGATGGCGATGCTCAGGGTCATGCAGCCACATACGGGAAAAATAATTAAGATCTTGTGTATGTCAAAGAAGTGTGTTACACTTGAAAAAAAGAATAGAAGACAAACCTTCTTGGCAGATTGAGCACAACAAGAGTCGAAGCATCTGACAATAGAGTGCCGTCTCGTCTGATAATTAACGTTTGAGCCAGTATGACTCGGTTGATTGTGCCCTTGACCACCACCCGCGCTCCCGCCACTGGGGTCTCTTATTCCCAGGCCGCTGCTCGTCTCCAGTGACCTGCACGACGATGCTGAGTCGCATCCCCCCGTAACACTGCATCCCTGTTGCTCGCATCCTGGAATTAAATTTTTTTTTGTTAAATATTTTTTTTCAAGAAAAATAAGAATTTAAATTGGACAATTTTCTTTTAATAAATAAGAATTTTGAAATTAGCAATCTTTTTTTTTTAGAGAGAGAAAAACTTGTATATTTTATAAAAAAATTTTTATATTTTAATTAAATATTTATCCGGCATCTAAAACAATTTTTAGCGAATTTTATAAATAAAAATTAAGACGAAAATTGATTTAGTAGATATTCAATAATTTTTTTAACAAATAAATTATGACGTAAAAATTTTTAAAAATCAAAAATGAAATTTTTTTATCATAATTTATTTGTAAAATAAAATTAATAAATGGCCAAATGACTGCTAACTTTGATGTCTTAATTTTTAAGACATGAACTGAATTTTTTTTAGAATAATATTTTTTTTCAATAAAAATAAGAATTTAAATTTTACAATTTTTTTTTAATAAATAAAAATAATTTTGAGTTACAAATCTAATTATTTTAGATGAAAATATTAAAATATTTTTTAGACGAAAATTTATTTAGCAGATATTTGATAATTTTTGCAATAAATTGTGACAAAAAAATTGGAAAAATTAAAAAGAAAATGAAATTTTTCAATAATTTATTTATTAAATAAAATTAATAAATGGTCAAATGACTGCTAACTGATGTGATAAAATTTTGGGATTAATTTTTAATTTAAAAAATATAAAACTAAAAAATTTTAAAGAAAAATTGACATGTAAAAATTTTAATAAATTAAAAATTCAATTTTTTAAAAATAATTTTTTGGAACACATTCGTTTCTTAAAGAAAATTAAAAAATTGTGACAGCTAAATTTATTGTCATAAATTATTTATGAAAAAATGTATTTTTAATTTTTTTAATTTCCTACATATCAATTTTTTTGTCCCATTTTTTTGCCATTATTTATTTGTTAAAAAAATTCTTAAAATCATGGAATAATTACTAAATTTTTTTATCAAGTTGATTTTTAAAGAAATTTTTAAAATAATAAAATTATGATTCAAAACTTTCAAGAATATTTTAAAAATTAATTTAAATGTCAAAAAATAGTGAAATGTCAGCTGATGCAAATTTACAAAAAAAAAGTTTTTAATAATATTAAAAAAATAATATAAAAAAAAAAAACATGACCAAATGTGATAAACAATTTACACTTGATCAAAATGATAAACAATTACCTGTATCAACAACAACATGTCCAGGACTAGCATAAGGATGTCCAGTTTGCTCATCATTTAAAATAATACTCGGAGCTCTGGACCTTCTTGGATGAAAAATAGTTGAAACTTCAGCGTTACTGCTATCCATAACTCAATTTACAAAACTTTATTTATATTTATGTTAATAAATATAAATCCAACTAAAAAGAAACAATAAAAACCTTCTATCGATTTAGTTTATAAATAAATAAACAATGCAAAGACAGTAGGCTTATAATTACTTAAACATTTACTTTGTTTTTGCCACATAATAACAATAATTATTATTCATAAATTAAATTAGTAAGTCTTCTTATCAAGGTCCAAGGGCATAAACCTTTATTTATTTTTTGTACTCGATATTTGACCCACTTGAGTTAAATTACCCTCTAGCTTATCAGATTGCAATAAAAATAAAATGATTATAATTTAATTATTAATTACTAATTAGTTGATTATTTATAAATATACAGAGCGATTGATCAAGCAGATTGGAGATGACAAGCAAATCAAGCAGAATAATAAAAATAAATGTACGTGGATTTAAACTGACGGTACTGTCACATGCTCGCGAGCTTTAAAAGCTCCAACGTGCCATTGATTACTGACGGGGAGGATTTTTAAGACCTGGGGATCTCTTGTCGGACAAACTAAACGCTTGCGCAACTCAATAGAAATATAGAGTATATATATTTAACAATACAATTATTATAATATAAGAGCTTGTTGTACATACTTTTATATTCTACCGCATATACTTTTCTGTTTAGAGTTTGAGAGACGTGTCACGGATTTAATGCTATTTTATTTGCGGTTCTTAAATCTAAAATTGCACGCGATATTTATTAACATACATTTATTTGCGTGCGCTATTTTAGATTTTATTCATGGATTTTATTTAATAGTTTGTTATTATTTATTGTTTAATATGCTTGTAATGATGATGACAGTTTAATGGGAAAATTATATTTTAGGAAGGTCAATCTTTGCGTTAATTTTTACTTACTGGCGATGAGAAAAAAATTATAGATTTTTTTTTAGACTAATATTTTTGCTAATTAAATCCCGTCAAGGACTTGTTTAAATTTAAATAAAGAATTTGTTAATTAAATTATAATTTTTTTTAATTTTATTAAGTATTTATAATTACTTCTTATGATAATAAAGTTAGCCGACAATTTTTCGAATTTTTTACAAATGAAATTTTTTTTTTAATTTTTTTGTAATAATTTTTTCATTAAAAAAAATTCTTAAAATTTTTAGATATCGGCTAACTTTATTATCATTTAATTCTTCTGAAATTCAGAGTCCTGTCAATTTTTTTTGGTTTTTTTGACAACTAAATTATTAAGAAAAAATTTTGATTAAAAAATTCGACGTCTAGAAATTTAAATAAAAATTAATTTACCAGATAGTTGATAATTTTAAAAATTTTTATAACAAATAAATTATGAAAAAAAAAAAATGATTATAAAAATTGACATTTAGAAATTTTAAGAAACTAAAAATGCAATTTTTTTAAAATAATAAAGTAACTGCTAACTTTAATGTCATGAAATTAAAATACAAAGTGGAAATTTAAAAAAAATATTTTTTTTTAATAACACTAAAGTAAGCCGAAATTTTTGATTTATTAAATTTGAATAAAAAAATATTTTTAAAAAATTGCATTTAAAATTTTTCAATTTTTTTAAAAACGAATTTTTTTTTAATTTTTTTGTTACAATTTATTCAATAAAAAAAATTCTCAAGCTTTTTAAATGTTAGCTAATTTAATTTTTATTTTTTTTTTTTTTATAAGAAAATCCAAAAAAATTGACGACAATAAAGTTAGCCATTTAAAAATTTTTAGAATTTTTTTGATTGATAAAATCATAAAAAAATTTTTAAAAAATTTCATTTGTAAAAAATTTGAAACATTGTAAGTGGAATTAAAAAAAAATTTTTTAGTTTCAATTCAATAAAATAAACTAAAGCAAAAAATAAAAAATGTCGGCTAACTTTATTATTATAAAAAATTGTCAGCTGATTTCAGTATTTGTTAATTTTTTAGTTTCACTTTTTAAAACAATTCTCAAAAATGACACTTGGAATTTTTTTTTAACAATCACATATTTTTCTTGTTGAACTTTATCAAAAAAATCATTTCCTGTTTGTTTTTTAATCTTACTGACAGTTTAAAATATCACTTTTTTTTTAACACGTTTAGTTTCAGTCAGCTAATTTTTTAAGAAAAATTATTTTTTTAAACAATCACTTTTTTTTTTTAGATTGTCAAAAATAAATTTTAAAAAATGTCAATTTTTTAAAATTAACTCATAAAAAAAAACTAGTGTTAATTAATATAAAAAAACGAAATTTTTATAAAATTTGTTCAATAAAAATCCACTTGTCAAAAAAATTATGATCAGCTGTTTATTTATTTATAAAAATTAAGTTAGTCGACATCTAAAAATTTTTAGAATTTTTATAAAAAAAATTCATTTTTAAAACACTTAAAAAATTATAAGTGCAATTTTTAAAAAATATTATTTAGTTATTATTTAATAATTAAAAAAAAACTTACAAAATTAACAATGTCGGCTAACTTTAGTATTATTATTTATTTTATTATAAAAAATTACCTCAAATTATTTCCATCAATAAAACTTATCCAGCATCTTAAAGTTTTGAAATGCAAATGGCTGCCAAATTCCAACAATTTATATTTTTAAATTTGCCATTTAAAATATTTTAGTAGGTGGCGCTAGTAGTTCATTCTTCCCGCCAGTAAAAATATTTTAATCTGTCATCTGTCAATGCGCAACTAACCTCTCAGTGTAAAAAATGTGTAAATATTAGCCTGAAATAGATTTTGTAAATAAATTCCATATTTATTCCATAAAAAATAAATAATAATTTTGTAATTAATAAATAAATCCCAAAAAAAAATGAAGACCTTCAAGCTGATAGTCCACCAAAAGAACTTCAGCGGTGAAGATCTGATAATAAACCCCAAAGACTACCCAGGAATAAAAATAGGGGACGTGGTGGAGATTTACCACCAAGAAGATGAGTTCAGCAGGCTGTTGCTGCAAGTCACATCCTTCAAAGAAGATCTCCAAGGTCGGGAGACGATCAGCGTTGAGAATAATATTGCTCAGATGTTTCAGCTACGCACTTATGCAGATGTTCATATGAACATCGTGAACCCGGACGACGTGGCCCTGGACTCTGTGGAGCTGACCTTTAAAGATCAGTACATGGGTCGCAGTGAAATGTGGAGGCTCAAAAACAGCCTGGTGAACACTTGTGTGTACATGAACAAGAAAATTGAGTTCTGTGGGGGGAGTATCAGGTGTCAAGTTTATGAAATGTGGTCCCAGGGTGACCGTGTTGCCTGCGGAGTCATCACCGATGACACCAAGGTAGTTTATAAAAATTAATTTAGCAGATATTTTATAATTTTAAGAATGAAAATTAAGTTAACCGACGGATAAGATTTGTTAGATTTTTTTTTTTATTAACAAAATTATTAAAAAAAAAAAATCAATTTTAAAAACTATAAATGCAATTTTTTAAAAATAATATTTAATTCTAATTTAATAATTAAAAAATAACTCCAAAAATTAACAATGTTGGTTAACTTCACTATTATTTTTAAGAATTTTTTTACCACAAATAAATTGTGAAAGAAAAAAAGAAAAAAAAATTGACATATAGCAAATTAAAAAAATAAAAAATCCGAACAAAAACAGTTTCACTGTAAAAAAAGCGCGCCAAGTCCACGTTCATAAGACTATTAAGAAAAAAAAATTAGTTTTTTTCTTTAAAAAAAGATATAAAATAAAAAAATTAAAAAATCCAAGTAACCGATATGATTGTTTATGATTTTCGGAAATTAAAAAAAATTTTGTTGTAAATTTAAAAATTAAAAAAACAATTTTGGAACGTATTTAGTGTGCGCGGTTGCAAAATATTTTACTTTTAACTAAATTCGTAAAATCTATTTACTAGGACTTTAAAAAAATTGAAATACACAATATGACGCACACCAAGTACGTTCTAAAATTGTTTTTTTAATTTTTAAATTTACAGCAAAATTCTTTTTAATTTCCGAACATCATAAACAATCAATATCGGTTACTTGGATTTTTTAATTTTTTATTTTATATCTTTTTGTAAAGAAAAAACTAATTTTTTTTCTTAATAGTCTTATGAACGTGGACTTGGCGCGCTTTTTTTACAGTGAAACTGTTTTTGTTCGGATTTTAGTATTTTTTGTAATTTTAATAAAAATTTACAATTGGTACCAACTTAAATCTCGCGTTGGCTGCATTTTTTATAGCAAACTATCCCTTTGAAGCTACAGTTTATGTAAAAATAATTCCAGCGCACCCTGGCGGGTGTAGATGCAAGCTGTGAAATGTATTTTTCTAACTGTAGTTTCCCATCTATCGGAGGATTACCATGCACTATCGAATTATGTAGTCTGTGGCAGATCACTTTGGCCATCGAAAAAAAGTCAGGATCGAAATTTTTGCGTTGCTATAGTTTGTGCTGATTAAATTTAATAATTTCAAGTAGATTAATTGTTATAATTAAATATAATTAATTAATATCAGTAAAATAAAGTATGAATTACTGTTATAATATAAAATATAGGAAAAAAAAATTACCGTAGAATTAAATAAAATTTTGCAACCTCAAAATACCGTTCTGCTTACAGTAAACACAGTCGGTAGTCTGGCGCTCCGTTGACAACGGATTTGAACGGAACTTGGCGCCAGATTCTACCGAATCTGTGGATGCAATTTTTAAAAAAAATTTTTTGGAGTAAATTTACTTATTAAAAAAAATTAAAAAATGGTCAAGAGACCAAAAAAAAAAAATTGACATAGAAATTTTAAAAAATTAAAAATGCAATTATTTAAAAATAATTTGTTAAAAAAACTAAAAAAATTATTAAGAGACTATTAACTTTATTGTCATAAATGTAGCAGATATTTGATAATTTTAAGAATTTTTCTAACAAGTAAATTATGGCAAAAAAAAATTAGACAAAAAAATTGACATTTAGGAAGTTTAAAAAATTAAAAATGCAATTTTTTATAAGCTAGCAATCTTACA